TAGTGTTATCACTGATAACACTAATTAATTTATATTTGATCTTGATGGTGAAACTAAAGGCGTTTAACACTTTCTTTCTTCTTTCTTTCGGTCTTTATTTTGGTTTATAGCATTAACATAAAATTTTTCTTTTCAAACAAAACAATATTAACAATTTGAATTTAAACCAAAGAAGGAATAGGCAGAAGCAATGCTTATTTTAGCCTACCCTATTTTCCACCTAATATACATAACCAATATACATTTCTTTTATTTTCCCCAATATAAATATCCACAATGAAAATTCATTAATGTCTATACATACTTTTCGTACCCTGTAAATATGTGACACTTTACACCTGCTTTAAACTTTAGTAAAGAAGTACATTTCTTCAAATCATCATCTACAGGTGCTGGCCAGTAAATTAGAATATCATCAAAAGGTTGAAAATATTTCAGTAATTCCATTCAAAACGTGAAACTTGTACATTATATTCATGCAATGCACACAGACCAATGTATTTCCGATGTTTATTACGTTTAATTTTGATATTTATAGGTGACAACCAATGAAAACATCAAATCTGGTATCTCAGAAAATTAGAATATTCTAAAGGCCAATGAAAAAATGTTTGTTTCTCTAATGTTGGCCAACTGAAAAGAATGAACATGAAAAGAATGTGCATGTATAGCACTCAATACTTAGTCGGGGCTCCTTTTGCCTCAATAACTGCAGTAATGCGGCGTGGCATGGACTCGATCAGTCTGTGGCACTGCTCAGGTGTTATGAGAGCCCAGGTTGCTCTGATAGTCGTCTTCAGCTCCTCTGCATTGTTGGGTCTAGCGTATTGCATCCTCCGCTTCACAATACCCCATAGATTTTCTATGGGGTTAAGGTCAGGCGAGTTTGCTGGCCAATCAAGGACAGGGATACCATGGTCCTTGAACCAGGTGCTGGTGGTTTTGGCACTGTGTGCAGGTGCCAAGTCCTGTTGAAAGGTGAAGTCTGCATCCCCATAAAGTTGGTCAGCAGCAGGAAGCATGAAGTGCTCTAAAACTTCCTGGTAGACGGCTGCATTGACCCTGGACCTCAGGAAACAGAGTGGGCCAACACCGGCAGATGACATGGCACCCCACACCATCACTGACGGTGGAAACTTTACACTGGACCTCATGCAACGTGGATTCTGTGCTTCTCCGCTCTTCCTCCAGACTCTGGGTCCTTGATTTCCAAAGGAAATGCAGAACTTGCTTTCATCAGAAAACATAACTTTGGACCACTCAGCATCAGTCCAGTCCTTTTTGTCCTTGGCCCAGGCGAGACGCTTCTTGCGCTGTTTCTTGTTCAAGAGTGGCTTGACACACGGAATGCGACACCTGAATCCCATGTCTTTCATGAGTCTCCTCGTGGTGGTTCTTGAAGCGCTGACTCCAGCTGCAGTCCACTCTTTGTGGATCTCCCCCACATTTTTGAATGGGTTTGTCGTCACAATTCTCTGCAGGGTGCGGTTATCCCTAGAGCTTGTACACTTTTTTCTACCACATTTTTTCCGTCCCTTCGCCTGTCTGTTAATGTGCTTGGACACAGAGCTCTGCGAACAGCCAGCTTCTTTAGCAATCACCTTTTGTGTCTTGCCCTCCTTGTGCAAGGTGTCAATGATTGTCTTTTGGACAGCTGTTAAGTCAGAAGTCTTCCCCATGATTGTGGTGCCTTCAAAACAAGACTGAGGGACCTTTTAAAGGCCTTTGCAGGTGTTTTGAGTAAATCAGCTGATTAGAGTGGCAGCAGGTGTCTTCTATATTCAGCCTTTTCAGAATATTCTAATTTTTTGAGATACCAAATTTGGAGTTTTCATTAGTTGTCACTTATGAATGTCAAATTTAAATGTAATGAACATTGGAAATACATTGGTCTGTGTGCATTGCATGAATATAATGTACAAGTTTCACGTTTTGAATGGAATTACTGAAATATTTTCAACCTTTTAAAGATATTCTAATTTACTGGCCAGCACCTGTAACTCATTCCACAATTTCACACCAACAACAGAAACACATCTTGATTTCACATTAGTTCTGGCTTTTACACATTCAAACATAAATACACCTCTGAGATTATAATGATCATCTCTTGGTTTGAAATAAACTTTTATGCAATTTGGGATATTATTATTAACTACTTTATGAAGAATCTCTAAGATTTTTACTTTAATAATGTCTCCTAATTTTAGCGTTTTCGTTTGACTAAATAGATAATGGGTTGGTTCGAGGTATCCCAATTTATTAACTATTTTAATCGCCTTTTTTTGTAATTTAAATACAGTCTCAACACACGTTTTACCTGCATTTCCCCAAACCTCTGCACAGTAAGACAAATAAGGCATAACTAAAGAGCTATAAATCAAAAACAAGGCTTTTTTATTTAGTATATCAATAGTTTTATAAAGTATAGCAATATATTTAGACACTTGCTGTTTGATATATTCAATGTGTGGTTTCCAACTGAGTTTACTATCAATAGTCACACCTAGGAATTTAGTTTCATGTACTTGTTCAATTGGGACTCCATTTAAATACAGCTTAGCACCGTCATTGTCCCTTTTCCCTGAAAATATCATAAATTTGGTTTTATTTTCATTTAGTGATAGCTTGTTGTAATCAAACCATTTTTTAATTGAATCCAATTCGTTTTCAACCTCTTGTAATAATTTACTCATATCTTTTCCCATACAAATGAAATTTGTATCATCTGCAAACGTAATAAATTTTAACCGAGATGATACAGAAAAGATGTCGTTCAGGTATAGGTTGAATAATTTCGGTCCTAGCACCGAGCCTTGCGGTACACCACATATTACTCTTTCAAGCTGTGAATCTATATCATTAACATTTACATATTGAAATCTACTGCTTAAATAACTTTCAAGCCATTGATTGGTTTTACCACGAAGACCATAGTATTCACATTTCTTGAGCAGGTATATGTGATCAATTGTATCAAATGCCTTACTCAAGTCAATCAAGACAGCCACTACATGAAGTTTTTGATCCACTGCTGTTGCAATCTGCTCTACCAAATCCATAACTGCTAATGAGGTTGAACGATTCTTCCTAAACCCATACTGATGGTCATTTAAAAGATCAAACTTGTTGGTAAATGCTTCAAATCTAATTACAAAAAGTTTCTCAAGTATATTTGAAAACTGTGGCAGTAAAGAGATAGGTCTATAGTTACAAGCTAATAATTTATCACCACTTTAATAAATAGGAATAACTTTGGCTATTTTCATTTTTTCAGGGACTGTGCCACTTGAAAATGATTTATTACAAATATAAGTAAAAGGTTCAATAATGCAATGGATAACCTCCTTCATGAGAGACATATCTATCCCATGAAAATCTAAGGACTTTTTACTTTTGAAACTATGTACCACTTGGATCACATCACTTTGGCTTACACTGCTCAAAAACATTGTATTATTATTTTTATTTATTTCATGGTTAATGTCAACTTCTGGCAGCTTTTTAGCTAGATTAGGGCCAACATTCACAAAATATTTATTAAACTCATTTGCAATGTTCTTTCCATTTTTATTGTGAATATCTATACCTGCTTCTTTTGTATTTCTTATTAATTTATTTAACACATTCCATGTACCTTTAATATTATTTTTGTGTTTTAGGAAAAGCTGATCATAATATTCCTTTTTTTGCTTCCTTATTATTGTAGTTAATTTGTTTTTATATTCCTTATACCTTTTTTCTTTTTCCTTTGTTGGATTTTTTATAAAATCCAGATACAGTGATTTCTTTTTCTGGCAAGCCCTTTCCAATCCCCTAACAATCCAGGGTGGGGACCTTTTTTTTAAGTTTTGCTTATGATATTTTAGAGGACAATGTCTATCATAAGCTCCCAAAATGAACACTGAACACCTAACATGAATGCAGCTTCTGAGAGCTAGCTAATATCAGCTAAAACTGTGTTCTGCTGCTCACCTTCCTTCTTGAAGAATCTAGTCAATACTTGCTTCTGTTCGATTAACTTTTTCTCCTTCTCCTTCTTTTCTTTTCTGGAAGCCAGATTTCCCTTTCTTGGGAAAAGACATGACTGACTCTCCTGCCTCCAGCTCTGGCTGTCGGCATCTGCGATGTCTCACTAGCACATGCGGCCGTGCAGCCCCTGGCCGCTGGTGTGGACTAAACCACTTTGCACATTTTTAAGGGGTGATAGATGCCTCAGAGATTATTCAGTTATTATTTTTAAGGCGAAATTCTGTTTCTTAACCTCTTTATCCAGGTAAAGGGAAGTTTATTAAGACATTAAGTAAGTTGGGGGGAAAAAACAACAACAATAAAACATTTTTATTCAAAGCTGTCTCAGGGCCCCTCCCTGCAGTGGGCCCTGGGTAAACGGTACCCTTCCCCCCCCCCAGTCCGACGCCCCTGCTTACTGACTGCTAATGTAAAAAACGCGTACACTTAAACCCCCTTCCTCCACTCGGCCACTCTGACCTGACTCTCATTCATCTGATCCCCGACTGCACACCCAGGGTGATTAAGGAGCCTTCTCAGAAAAAAAACCTGAAAGTATGGTCTGAAGAACCCAGAACTGATTATGTGAGTTTCTGTGTAGAGAACACTGTCCAAATACAACGGTTGAGGTGTTTCTCGAATAGTAACCCCTGGTTGACTCGTGAGCTGAAATCGCTGCTGAACAGTCAGAAAAAAGCTTATGGCTGGTAGGTGTAATGTCTCTTGAATTAATCAAGACGTTTCATGTTCTTTGCAAAAGATCTTTTTTTCTCCTCTTCACCAGCTGTCTTTCATCTCATCAACACCCTCCTCTACTCTTAAATAGATCTTTCTAATACCGCCCCCTTGCGGGCAGAGCCATAACAGTTATCACTACCACCCCCACCCCCCACCCCCACACACACACACATTTTTTTCTTTTTTTCATGCACTATTAAAGATTCAATCTATCTGGAGGCTTAATGACACATGTTGTCCTGAGCCCACAGGATACAGGCTCATACTCAGATGTGGCTCCCTCTGCTGACGGGACACTGTCCTGCACAGCCATCCTTGCTGACAAACCAGGCCGTGCAGTAGGCTCAACAAGAGAAGAACAATCTTCAAAGTCCTTTCCCTGAAGAATCTTTTGAGTCTTCAACAAGTCACGACGGTTGCGCCTCAACGTCTGGCCATCTTCGGACCTGACCACATAGGATCTAGGGACCAACTTCCCCAAAAACAGCAGCTCTCCTACTCCAAAGATTGGAATCCTCAACTCTCACGGTATCATTCTGGACCAGCGGCTCCAGGCATCTGGTTGACCTGTCATAATTCCTCTTCTGTCTCATCTGCAGATATTTTCTTCTTAACCCCAGATCCTGGGGTACCCCATGAGGGACTTTGAATGGGAGAGTGGTCCTCAATCTTCATCCCATCAGAAGCTCAGCAGGGGACACACCATGTTCAAGGGGTGAGGCTCTATAACTCAACAGATTCAAATGGGGGTCAGTATGGCTGTCTTTCGCCTTCCTGAGAAGATGTTTCACGATCTGGACCTTTTCAGTTTTCCCATTGGACTGAGGAAACAGTGGGCTCGAGGTGTAGGAAGTCATAATCTACAGCAAACTTATGAAACTCTTGGCAGTTGTAGCACAGTCCATTGTCACTGTAAACAAAATGAGGGATCCCCTGTCAGGCAAAAATTGATTTCAAATGTGAAATCACAGTAACAGCAGAAATACTGGGGAGGACCACTACCTCTGGATAATTGGAATAATAGTCAATCACTAATAAGTAATGTCTTCCATCCAAGTGGAACAAATCAGTCCCCACCTTTTGCCAAGGTTCCTCAGGAAGATCAGTGAGCACCACTGGCTCTTTAGATTGTGTCATGTGATACTTCAGACGGGTCCCACATCCTGAAACCATTCTGTCAATATCAGCGTTAATCCCTGGCCAATAAACTGCTGACCTTGCTCGTCTTTTACACTTTTCCCGGCCAAGATGTCCTTCATGCAGCCTCTTCAGAATCTCAGGTTTCATAGACGTTGGAATTATTATTCTATGTCCTCTGAGTAGAAGTCCATCAACAACACTCAGTTCTGCTCGGATGTTTAAGTACTGCTGACATTCCCCCTTTTGGCCATTCATCCTGCAGTTTACTCATAACTCTCTGGAGGATTTCATCCCTGGCAGTTTCATCAGCAATCTGTCTTGATTTCCTGTCTGTCACAGGAAGGGACTCTTTAATCGTATCGACATGGACCTCCACCTCTGATTGAATGGAACCTACATCCTGGGCACCATGCAGTGGAACAGCCCTTGACAGAGCATCAGTAAAAACAATCTGTTTCCCTGGCGTGTAGATGAGCTCAAAATCATAACTGAGAAGCTTCATCATGAACCTTTGAAGGCGGGGTGACATGTCACTAAGATTCTTTTTTACAATGGATACCAAAGGCTTATGATCCGTTTCAGCCAAAAACCTGGGGAGACCATACACAAGTCCCAAGCACCCCTTTTCTATTTGTGCGTAACGACATTCAGTTGCAGTCATCGCTCGTGATGCATAAGCAACTGGTCTCCAGCTATCCCCATCATGCGGCAGGAGTACGGCTCCAATCCCATTGGTCGACGCTTCTGTGGAAATCTTTGTCTGTCTCTGGGGATCATAAAACATCAGGACTGGTTCAAAAGTAAGGATGTGTTTAAGTTGCTTCCATTCATCATCATGGTCACCAGTCCACTTGAACTCCTGTTTCTCAGCAGCAACTGTCTCAGGTGCAAAGTTTTCGAAGACAGATTGGGAACGAACTTTCCAATAAAGTTAATCATTCCAAGGGCTCGGAGTACCGCTTTTTCATCTTCAGGACGAGGCATCTCCAGTGTTGCTTTACTTTTACTGTCATCTGGCTTGGCACCTGCCCCAAACAGTTGGTCCCCTAGGAAAACTACTTCTCTGACAACAAACTGGCATTTCGCTCTATACAGTTTCAGCCCATTTGCCTGGATTCTCTGTAGTACTCTAACGAGTCTCTCATTACGTTGCTCCACAGTCGCTCCCCAGATGACGATATCGTCCACATACACCCGTACCCCGTCGAGCCCTTCAATGATGTACTCCATAGTTCAATGAAATACTTCAGGAGCTGATGTAATTCCAAATGGCATCCTCAGAAACTGATACCGCCCAAAGTGAGTATTAAAAGTACAATATTTAGTGCTCTCATCATCCAACTTACAGTTTTTTTTCAATCGCTAACAAGCTCTCATCCAAACGTCAGATACTTGTTCGAAACTCTTAACACAGATTCACTCCTACAAAGCACGATTGGCCAAATGGAAAATGTTCTTCTCAAAAACACGTTTTGATGAACATAAACTAACTCTTCATTTCAAAATAGAACATATCTTTCTCTGCACACACTACCTTTACCCAAACACTGGACATCTGACTCAATGTGAACTTATTCTGTCAAAAACTCGAACTTGTTTTCACTTCACAAGATACAGTCAGTCAATCAAAGTACACCAGGTTTCAAAATACTGGCGATTTTTGACATTACAAAAACCACATAGTTTTATGCTTCAGTTTTAGAAGTATTTGCATGCGAAACATGCGATCCACGATCTCGGTTGTGAACTGTATGTCCACATATGATGTGCACATTTCAAAGCATTCCAGTAAAAAGCTAACCCTAACCAGATTCAGCAATGTTGATTAATATATAGGTGAAAATTGACCCTTTTGGTATGTTACAGTAACATCTTCTATGGTGGAAGTACTAAACGAAAACTACCACTTCTAGTGTGGGGAAATGACTTCTAAACCAGTTAAAAACTCAAATGCTATCTGTAGCACTTTTCAAACAAGCCTAATGTTAAAACAGCAGCAGATGCTCTCCAGGGACTGGATGTGTCCTCAGCTGATCAGAACCAAAGCGTTGGATCTTTAATCTCCTGCGTTGTTCTGAAGCAGCATCTTAATCAGCTCTCCTGCTTTGTTTCTATTGCAGCTGTTAGCTAAACACGGCTAAAGAAAACCTGCTACCACTTCAGGATCATCCATCAGCTGGGACTGCTTCATCAGCATGGACACAGGTACTGGTGTGTGTGTGTGTGTGTGTGTGTGTGTGTGTGTGTGTGTGTGTGTGTGTGTGTGTGTGTGTGTGTGTGTGTGTGTGTGTGTGTGTGTGTGTGTGTGTGTTTCGACTGATGTTGGTTCTCACCTTCAGCCATGACCTGTTTGTTTGTCTTTACAACTGTTTTATGTGTGGATTTAATGTTTCATGTGCTTCTGTGTTTCCTACAGATGTTCAGCAGCTGGTGCTGGTTAAAGAAGAAGCTCCTGGTGAGGACCAGCAGGACGCAGAACACCTCCACATAAATGAGGAACAGGAGGAACTCTGGACCAGTCTGGAGGGAGAGCAGCTCCATCTGAAGGAGGAGACTGATGCTGGCAGGTTTCCAGTCACTGTAGTTACTATAAAGAGTGAGGATGATGAAGAGAAACCTCTGATCTCACAGCTTCATCAGCAGCAGATAGAAGACAGAGATGTTCCAACCATTAGCTTAGCTGGTGGAGGAGCAGAAACTAGCAGGAACTCTGATCTGAACCCTCATGAACAGACATCTGATTCTTCAGAGACTGAAGTTAGTGGAGATGATGAAGAGGATGATGTGAATCTAGACTCTGTGCTGCCGGACTCTGGGTCTAAAACTGGAGTTGGAGACGATTACTGGAATGAGAGCAGGTCTTCTGAGTCAGATGTTAGGATTGTGAACAAATCCTTTAGCTGTGCTGAGTGTGGTAAACAGTTTCTCCACAAGAGGTCTCTCCAGAAACACGTGAGAGTCGCAGGTCACTCAGCAGTAAGGTCTTCAGGCTGTTTGCTTACTAAGAAATATGTTAGAGTGAAGCAACGTGTAGACTCATGCCGGAGAGTCCAGAAAGAACTAAAACCATTTAGTTGTGACGTCTGTGGTAAAGTATTTATGGGAAAATATAGTTTACACAGACATATGAGAGTCCACACAGGAGAGAAAGCATTTGTCTGTGAGCTCTGTGGAAAGAGATTTAGCCAAAAGACACATTTAAACACTCACATGAGAGTCCACACAGGACAGAAGCCTTTTGTCTGTGAGCTCTGTGGACAAAGATTTAGTCAGAAGACAAGTTTAAAGAGACACATGATTGTCCACACAGGACAGAAGCCTTTTGCTTGTGAATTCTGTGGACAAAGATTTTGTCGAAAGACAAGTTTAGAGAGTCATTTGAGAGTCCATTCAGGGCAGAAGCCTTTTGTCTGTGAGCTCTGCATACGAAGATTTAGTGAAGTGGCACATTTAAACCGTCACATGAAAGTCCACACAGGACACAAACCTTTTGCCTGTGACCTCTGTGAAGAGAGATTTAGTGAAAAGACACGTTTAATCAGTCACATGAAAGTCCACACAGGACAGAAACCTTTTGCCTGTGAGCTCTGTGGACAAGGATTTAGTCATAAAACAAGTTTAAACAGACACATGAAATTCCATACAGGAGAGAAACATTTTGCCTGTGAGCTGTGTGGACAAAGATTTAGTCGGAGGGCACATTTAAACAGACACGAGTGTCTACACAGGACACAAAGAACTCCTGCATAGGTGTGGTTAGTCGTTAGTCTTTTTCTGGAAAAAAAATGTGCTCTTCAAATTTGAGGTAGGCATGTTGACGCATATTGGCTTTTTAAAAAAAATGAATACGAAAAAATGAGCAGTCAATGCGTTGCTTCAGGCCGACCTCTCCTAGAGTTACCACACAGTCTAATCTGGTGTGCTTCCTCCAATTTTTTCTCTGGTACCATCTGCCCACCCCTATGAAACTTATTGGAGGTGCCACTGACACCATCGTATGCAAGACATGGGTTTCGTTGATCTCATTCTTTGGGTGTTTCTCAGTGTAAAGGCGCCTTGACTTGCAAGGCGATGTCTTGTGAGGCCAGGCATCTTGCTTATGAGGACACTGTTCTTCCTTGGTCAAAGAAAACGGTTAAACGGAACAGACTTGTATCACGTGACCGCGGCTTCCACTGCGGTCACGTAACGTCGTGACACGGGAGATAACGTTATATTTTATACGTACTAGTTTCAATATAAATATATGTAGGGTTTCGGAAATTGAGTGCTTTAAGAGCTCAATAAATATATTACCTCTACTCATGACCAATAAGCTGTGAGACTCTTATTTAAATATAGAATATCAACCCTGCTTGGTCTTTACGGTGTTTTATCAGAAGATCTAGGATTCTTTCTTTATTGAGGAATTGTACACCTTCGTTTTGATTCCGAAAAGAGTCAGGTTTATAAAAGTAAGAATTTATTTTACAAACAACATAGGGACCTATGTGTCAATGAGATGTTGGTCAGAACTTCCTTATCTAGGAGAGCTGAGTTCTGGATGTAAAAGTATTAGGTTTGCGTTAAGCTATGGAGTTGGTTGTTACCAAAACACATCAGACGCTATCTGTCGTGTCTACGTACCCACTCGAAGAACCTCGTGATAGATCCGGAATATCGAAGTCCTCTGACTTCCAGGCACCGAGGCCCGTAGAAGAAACTGTGGCCCCACTAAACCGGTCTTAGAGTTGTCTTCAGGTCACAACAGACGGATGGTACCGCACTCTTGTGGAGTGTCAGAAGAAAAGTCACCAACTCTCTCAGTGATCGCACCCCTGCGTGCTCTGCTGCTGAAGGAGACGACCAGCCTCCCAGAAGACTCCAAAGTTGTTAAGGATATGAAGAATGAGATCAAGAAAAACCTGAGCACAAGGTAGGCCTATTTTGTGTGTGTGAGAGAGAAAATAGGTTATGTTGTGTATTTAATTAAACAATTCAAGAAAATATTATCTCCCTAATTGCATAGATTTAAATGTGTGACACTTATATTTCAGGTATGTGAACCAGACGGCCATGCTGCATGCCGCCTCAGCTGTTGATCCACGCTTCAAAGCCCTGCCATTTCTGGGTGAGGAGGAGCGAGAGCACACCTTCTCCAGGCTCCAGGCTGAGGCGGTGGGTGGGATGGGGGAAGAAGCATCTAATGTAAGTAATAAGAAGCCTTGTGAAAAAAAAAATCCACGCAAATACTACCATGTAATTGATCTCTCTCTCACACACACACACACACACACACACACACACACACACACACACACACACACACACACACACACACACACACATTTTGGTGAAGTCTGATCTGAATTAGTTGAAAGCTAATTTTGCCTATTTTCTGAAATCATCCTATTAAACCTGGTTTTCACAACATGTTATTGGTTTTATTGTTGTTTGTATATTTTTCATTTTAGTTTTCATTTATTCTTTCATATTTGCTTAGTAGTAGTACCTTAGTTGAGTGTTACTAGGTTAGTGAGTTTGTTGATAGAAGTATATTATTTGTTAAACTCTTACCTATCAGGGAGAAGTTGTTTGTGTTTATTCCAATTATAAATGTGCAGTTTCTTACTGTTCAGATACATATTTTTAAATATTTAAATATTTTATTATATTTTAAATCTCAGCCTGAGCAGGCAGGTATTCATAGATGATAGAATATACTCCGATTAATCACACAGTGGGGAAGTTAATTCGCTACAGCAGCACATATCCTTGGAGAAAACGAGAAATAATGAGATTACACTCAAATACACAAGGCAGTAAGCTATTGTAACCTTCAAAAATACACAACTCTAAGAACCAAGACTGAACACTTTTCCTGATATCCAAGTGGTTGTCTGACTTGATAGTTTAGATCAAAATGACAGATTTATGTTATGTTAAGTTATTCAGAGCCAAACCGAAGCCTATTGTTGCACAACGACACACATAAGTATTTATTCTCTCACGCAGCAAGATGAAGTTGATGAAATGGAGGAAGAGGAGGAAAACAACCCCCCTGCACCTAACCCCAAGCAATCCAGTGCTTTGGAGTCTCTCCTTGGGGAAGCCTACATACCTAGAGAGGAGAGGGGACATGCAAAGAAAACTCTTGCAGAGGTGGCAGAAGATGAGATCAAGAGGTACAGGGCGAGGAGACCTGCAGGACTGCAGGACAATCCTCTGCTCTGGTGGAGAGAGAATGAAAAAGAGTATCCTCGTTTGGCTCGCATGGCTAAGCGATATCTCTGTGTCCCTGGGACCAGCGTCGCGTCTGAGAGGGTTTTTTCAACTGCAGGTGTAGGGATGGGTACCGAATTCGGTACTTTTTAAGGTACCGACCGAATTCCATAGTACCGACCGAGCACCAATTCACGTCATTTCAAACGGTGCCTCGTTTCGGTACCCGTCCTTCATAACGAGAACTTGCCTAGACAGCTGTGCATGCACAAGAGCGTTATGTCGGTCGCTGTGAGCGAGATGTAAACAGAGCAGCATGGTAGAAAGAACGCACGCTAACGCTTGGGTCCACTTCACTAAATGTGATGGGTAACTGGGTGATGATGAAACCAGCGACAACGATCTAAGTGAGACATCCTCATCTTAATCTGCTCCGGTAGGTAAATAAAATTAGCTTGATATGTTAGCTTCCGTTTCACTAATGGTGCGTTCGCTTTCTCCTCGGAACTCCGAATTTCCGACTGGAAGAACATGAACGCGCTCTAAAGTTTGGCTTCACTTTACTAAATGCGACGGGTGATTGGGTGAAGATGAAACCAGCGACAACGATCTAAGTGTGAGGCATCATCGTTTTAATCTGCTCCAGCAGTTAAATAAACTGTTTAAGATAACGTTAGCTTGATATGTTAGCTTCCATTGCTACCATTGTTGTCATCTAATGGTGCGTTCGCTTTCTCCTCGGAAATTCTAACTTCCCAGTAGGAAAAATCAAATGAAAAAAGACGGCAAAAGGAATGAAGATACACAGTAAATTTAGTTCACAGTAAAGATGTTTGCTTCAGTTTAATTATCAGCTTATAAAACTACAAGGACAATGTTAAAATACAAACAGTTGTATGTTATTTATCGTGATATTTATCAAATATGGTTATATATTGAGAAAAAATATATATTTAATTATAAAAGAGAATTAAAATAATAAACACTAGAAAGTATCGAAAATTGGTACCGTTAAGTACCGGTATCGATTCGTAGGTACCGGGAATTAGTACCGGATCGATTCAAATGTCAAAGGTACCCATACCTATGCAGGTGATATAGTCACTGCAAAAAGAAGCTGTCTCACCCCTGGTCATGTGAATCAGCTACTTCTCCTGCAGAAGAATCTTACCGTTCCCAAGTGATGTTCATAAGAGGACAGTTTACACAGTCTGTCTTTAGTCAAGTTTAAGTTCCTGTTCAGTGTTGTTGGTACATTAATATGGAATGCCTTTCAGTTTTTACTTTTCACAAGTTTACATTTTTGTACTTAAAGGGCATTTGAATGTTTCTGGATACTTGAAGTGTTTAAGTTTTTGCACAAGACTGTGAAACAGTTGTTTAAAATTCTGTACCTTTTAATTTCTATTTGCATAAAGTAAAACGAAAGCTGTTAATTTTAAGCTTTCTGCTTCTGTTTACATTGGCACTGGCAAATAATATATTTTTTCATATGGTTAAACTTATCTGAATAAAAATGGTATTTGCTTTCAATAGCCAATATTTCATTAATTTATCATTGAATGTCAATATTATCAATATACTGCACACCTGTGCAGTCATGGAATTAAGGTAACTGCAAAAATGTTTTTAAATTGATGACCTGAATTGAATCGATATCGGATCGGAATCGATCGGATTACATAGTGATAATCAATTCTAAATCTCAAGAATCGGAATCGAATCGATTCTGGAAATTTGAATCGATACCCAGCACTAGTGAGACACAGGAACTAGCGCCCTCTTTAGTTCTGGAAAGTGATGACACCTTTTCTATATATGGTATGGTGGTGCCGAGCGCCCCGCCCCCGTCACGGCGTCCACTTTGTTTGGAATGAGAGGAGCTGATCCATGTTCCGGGGCTCAGGCCGCTAGCGGGGCTTCGGGGCTGTGAGGCTGGGTCGGCAGAGAGGAGCAGGAAGTGGGAGCTGAGTGGGAGGAGGGACGGAGGGAGCTAGCCGCCGAGTAGCAACGGCTAGTGACGGAGTGATGAGTGACTGGAACGGGAAGAAGAAGAGAACTGGAGAAGCTGGGGCCTCGAGGAGTTGACCTGGAAACTGACTTGAATAACTGGTCAGGAGCTCCTGGCACCAGGGATCGATGAGCGAGCTTCTGAATGGGCACGGGGGCCGATGTATCTGCTGACGTTGTTTGATGGGTAGGGGGGTGGGGTGCCATTCTGGCCACTAGGCTAGAACAGAACACAATTAAACTACAATCAAAACAGTTTAGATGAAAAGCCATTTTAAATATTTATAAATTAAGATACAATAATATTTGAACTTTAGTTTGGAGCATCTGGCCCTCACAGTGTCTGCTGGGAAAAACTCCCGCACTTGAACTAATTTAGTTTCTGAACGGAAAGCCACTGACTGCCAGCGTTTTTGAGTGTTTTTACTGTTTTTTGCAGAGTCACAGAACATTGTACTCCTTGATCATGTAAATGCCATAACTACCAACAGAAAGAGTAGACTCACTTCTCACTGAGGTAGAATGAGTGTTTTTCTAGTGTTATCTGTTCTTTCACAATCTGTTGTTGAAATGTGAGCTGCAGAAGCATTTCCGGTTAGCCCCTTGCTTTTTTCAGTTCATTCTCAAGGTGCAGGGGCTCGTTGTGACGCCCACCCTGTAAAAAATGCATTTGACGACTTTGAGGATGCATTGACTCCCAGACGGTTCCATGTTCTTCACCGGGTGACCGTACCAACCAAGCTGTTTGGTCAAAAAGAAATGTGTTAGAGTGAAGCAGCATGTAGACTCATGCAAGAAAGCCCAGAAAGAACTAAAATCATTTAGTTGTGATGACTGTGGAGAAACATTTAGGGAACCATCGGGTTTAAACAGTCACATGAGTGTCCACACAGGACAGAAGCCTTTTGCCTGTGAGCTCGGTGGACAAAGATTCAGCCAAAAGCAGTAACATTAAGCTGCTTTCACATCAGGCCAGCTCTACCCCACCCAGGTGTAAAATAAAATTTTCACATCTGGGTAGCCATCTTCTCAAGGTGGTCCACTTCAGACTGAATTGACCCAACACACTCACTGCCAACTAATTGGCTGGCTCAAATTCCCACCTGCCTCTGATTGGTGGTCAGAATCAACCAAGCAGGAGCTTAAACTGATAAACATTGCCTCTGACTGATGCTGTCTGTCTTCTTCTGTCTCTCTCACTGAGATGTGCTTTGTGACACAAACACACACACAGGCTTGAGCTGTCCCGTGGGAGGACACAGCAGAGCAGGATACAATATCAGCGTCAGTCTCCAAAAGACACGCGTGCGTCTCTTGCACTTGCACGCTTTAGTTTAACTTAACTCGTCCGCTGCCAGCTTTTTTCAGCGTTTTTACTGTTTTAGGATGATGCCGACGCCAAAACAACCAAAACAAAGCGGAGACTCGCCTCTTAATCAGGAAGAATCCGCGTGTTTCGAGCATTATCCATTCTTTCATAATCCGTTGTTGAATTGTGATCGGCAGAAGCTTTTCCGGTTCGCGCCTCACTTTTTTTACAGCAGCGGCCCAAAACGATCTCCTAACACACGGATGTTCTGCTTCCTGGTCACGTGACGTGTGACGTATGTGGATGAACATCGGCTTTAGAGCTGAGATGTTTGTTCTCACGGGGCGGGGGCTCGTCCGACGCCCAAACAGTGAATGGTTGGATTTAAAATGATGACTTGTCATTAATGGCAGTGAATGAGTTAAGGGAGACAGACTCCATGGACACCTCTTTGCATTTTTTGCCCCTCCCACGTGCTCAGAGATTTCCTTGTTAAAATCACTTCAATTCCTTTAGATGGTCCGGTCCGACGGCACCCAGCCCAGACAGGACCGGGCCATGCCAGATGTGGAAGCAGCGCTTGAGTACCAAAATGGACCCTTGCAGTTTTACATCCCAGATGTCAATATTGTCTTAACTGTCCTTTACCCTAAATTATTGTTTTCTAAACTTTTGTACGACAAGTAAGGCGTCCTTTCCTACTGGAGACCAGTGTTCAACATAAAACCCAAAGGGTTTTGAGTGAAGGCAAATAGACTTCTTTGGTTTCTTGAAGACGCTTTGCTTTTCATCTGAGGAGCTTTGTCAATTCTGACTGGAATGTAGAAGGGGGTCCCCTTCAAGCCTAGTCTGTTCTTGTCAGCTCCTCACGGGAGAGACACACATTGAGAGACGCTTTGCCCTCAGACTTGTCCGTCTCCCGGGGAGTGTTACAAAGCAATTCCCCGCCAGCAGTAGCACTGTTCTGTGGTATCCTGTCATGTATCCCATAATGAGAGCCTAACAACTCCCGATGACTCCTCGGAGTAGGGAAGAGGGGTATTCATAGGTAGTTTCAGCTCGTTAGGCAACAATAGACAGCTACAGTGTATACGCTTGATCCTCCCATATTCCAGTCAGAACTGACAAAGCTCCGCTTCGGATTACCATGACCTGGATAACAAGAACCTTAACAAATATAATAAAAACACAAGTAATGTGGTGTACTGCATTTTCCTGATATTTGTGTACATATACTATATGCTGTTGTGTATACGGTGTCTTGTCTTATTTCTTTTTTGCAAACTTGGTGAGATTATTACTCTTGCGGAGTCCTGAGCTGTGGTAACACACACATTTCCCCACTGTGGGATCAATAAAGTCTTATCTTAATATACATTTGATCCTATATTTACTTTAATAACTTATTTTATTCAACATGAAGCAGAGAGCTGCCAAAACACATTTCAAATGACAAAAAACCCACCTGTCAATAAATGATAAGTGAGCCTCAAGAGGTAGTCAGCTGAAATGGTTTTCCAACAGTCTTGAAGGACTTCTGTTTGCGGTCCTTGCTCCCACTTTACAGTGGAACGTCGACCTTTGACTGTCGGGCTTCCTTTCAGAGTTTGAAGACCCGTCTGAAGGTCCGTTATTACGTCCATGCTTTTTCACCACCTGGTCTGCAATTTAGTCCTGATTTGAATTGTTTAACCATTGCTCTCATCTGTTTTTATTTTCATCTTCTATTGTTTTTATTGATGCGTTCAGCACCTTGGGCTTCTGCTGAAGGTTGTGGAAGGTGCTCTATAAATGAATGAATGACTACAACTGGAAGCTCATCAAGAGAATACCAAGAGTGTGTAAAGCAGGAATCAGAGCAAAGGGCGGCTATGTAGAAGAAAATAGAAAATTAAACACGTTTTCGGTTATTTCACCTTTTTTGGTTAAGTACGCAACTCCTCATGTGTTCATTCATAGTTTTTATGCCTTCAGTGAGAATCTCCCCATGTGAACGGTCATGAAGGTAAAGACAACACACTGGATGAGAGGGTGTGTCCACACTTTTGGCCTGGACCGGGCCACGAAGGATTACGGCAGTTCTGAAGGCAAAAGAGGGTTGAACCCGGTACTAGCGAGGTGGACCCGATAAAAGAGCCAGTGAGTGTTTATCAAGTCATGTGTCTGTGGTTACATTGTGATTTCTTAGTAAATATTCTATTTGGTGAAAAATAAACTTTATAGTATTTATCCTAGTGGATCTATAATTAAACGGGTAAACTAGTAGTAGCACATCCAACATCAAAGAGTGTTAAAAAGTTATTATCAGGAGAGGGAGAATGTTTAAGTGGTTAGCAGCAGTGTGCTAGACGATGGCCCCCTCCATGAGGCCACCACAGCTCAGCAGAACATCGTTGTAAATAAAACATCTCCCTCGATGAAGGTCACGGGAATGAGCCCATTTACAGTCCCACACACACACACACACACTTCCTCCCTCCCCTCCTTCGCAGACGTAGCTCACTTCCCTAGCTAGGTGTGGAGGCAGCCTGACTAGAAGCTTAGAAACAACCAGAACACAGGGAGCCTGCACCGACACCAGTCAGCTGCTTTACATTTTATTGATTTGACATTTTTATTTTAGCAGAAGTATTCTGCCTGGCCGGACCCCTGCATGCACCAGGAGGGCTACACGTCGCTGCTGGCTGTAACATTTGTGCTTTAAATGCTAAAGACTGCAGAATCTGATGAAAGTCACAACTTTATGTTACAAAAACGCTCGCCTGAATACAGCAGGTGGAAATCCCGTTTAGACAGTTCGGTTTTTATACATCATCTGCAGCAAGACTCCGATGGAGGAAACGGGTCGTGACAGCAGCCGGACCCAGAGAGCAGACTGAGTTATGTCTCATGAAGGTGGGGTTGGAGCGGTCCGGCTGTTGTCACCCTCTCCACTTCAGCATCCGCGCTTTGATGGAGAAGCTGGAGGCGAAGGAGCTGCAGCACAGACGGCTCGGTTCAGAGCTGACTGACGTGCTAACAGCTAGTCTGAGACCAGTTGTTCTATCAGAACCAGATGCTGCTAACTAGTGCAGCAAATACCCACCATGGAAATTACCGAGTCGTTTCAAATGAAAGTGTTTTTGCATGAACCAGTCGGGCATTTTGAGACGAGAGTTGTTCCTCTGCTGACACACAACTCTCTGAGAACAACGATGTCATAGCTCCACCTCTGGTCCAGTAGATGACCTCATCACACAAGTTTACCTGCTGCTGCTGAAGGGCTCTTTCCTCCACTACAGCCTAGCAATCACAAGCTGTCGAGCTTCAGACGAGGCTGGAGAACAAACACCACACTCTGGACTCCCAGGAGAGAGACTGGTGTGAGATCAGAGACAACATCCTCTACGACCGGGTTCTCCGTTCTTACCCCCAAATTCCACTACCTCCGCTCCGGTCCGCCCCCGCCTTCCGCAGCCGCTCGCTTCCGAACTCAATTTTTACCGGTACCCGCTCTACAACGGCTCCGCTCCGGTGCGGAGACCTGAGGGGGGCAAACAAGCATGCGCGGGATTTTCGAGATCTTGCGATACAGTCCGAGCAATAAACGCGGAAGTTAGATCCAAACACCCGTTGTGTGGGAGAAGCATCGAAATGAACTGTTTAATCTGCCCATCATGTGTGTTGAGAGATCAGCAGTGTTTGGATCAACAAAGTGTGACTACTTTGATAGTAGAAACTATTTATGGCTTACTTTTGTGCATTTAAACTTCAGCCGCCATTGATAGTTGTTAAAAGTTGTTAAACCTGTGCATATGAAACAAAAAACGCTTTTTGTTTATCGATTTATTGTGAAATAACGGAAGTTGTGCTTGCTCCTTTTCCTGTTGGGCGGTTGTGATTTCTGTCCATTTACTGCGGAGGTGCTGCGGCGTCCGACGAAAATAGGATCGATTCTATTTTTGCCGGACGCCGGAACAGAGGGCGGCGCACGGCGCCGCACTGCCGGAGCACGGCCGCAGTAGTGGAATTGCTCTGACTGACTACAACGGGACCGATTTTGCTCCGGCGTTCGTGTCGGAGCGGAGCGGAGGTAGTGGAATTTGGGGGTTACTCCTCCATTCACCCAACCTGCTGTTGTGTTTACAGTTCCTACCTCAGACTCGGCTCTAGTTTGAAGGAGAACCGACCAAATGAGCTACAGGTGCATTTATGTGCTCATGGCAAAGAAGACCATCCCCACATCCAGACTGCAGCTGCTACAGCGTTAGCCTCCAACACTTACCGTGGATAAAGGTGCTGTTTGTATGTGTTAGATAGACTAACTGCTTCTGGTGGACAAGGCCTAGCCTAGCATGGAGGTCCAATTACAGTGATATGTTGCTTTAATGGTCCAATCACAGCGTTCTATCGGTTTAACTGTCCAATCACAGCGTTCTATCGGTTTAACGGTCCAATCACAGCGTTCTATCGGTTTAACGGTCCAATCACAGCGTTCTATCGGTTTAACGGTCCAATCACAGCGCTATGTTGGTTTAATCATCCAATCACAGCGCTATGTTGGTGGTCCAATCACAGCGTTCTATCGGTTTAATGGTCCAATCACAGCGTTCTATTGGTTTAATGGTCCAATCACAGCGCTATGTTGGTTTAATCATCCAATCACAGCGCTATGTTGGTGGTCCAATCACAGCGTTCTATCGGTTTAATGGTCCAATCACAGCGTTCTATTGGTTTAATGGTCCAATCACAGCGCTATGGTGGTTTAATCATCCAATCACAGCGCTATGTTGGTTTAATCATCCAATCACAGCGCTATGTTGGTGGTCCAATCACAGCGTTCTATCGGTTTAACTGTCCAATCACAGCGTTCTATCGGTTTAACGGTCCAATCACAGCATTCTATCGGTTTAACGGTCCAATCACAGCGTTCTATCGGTTTAACGGTCCAATCACAGCGTTCTATCGGTTTAACGGTCCAATCACAGCGTTCTATCGGTTTAACGGTCCAATCACAGCGTTCTATCGGTTTAACGGTCCAATCACAGCGCTATGTTGGTTTAATCATCCAATCACAGCGCTATGTTGGTGGTCCAATCACAGCGTTCTATTGGTTTAATGGTCCAATCACAGCGCTATGGTGGTTTAATCATCCAATCACAGCGCTATGTTGGTGGTCCAATCACAGCGCTATGTTGGTGGTCCAATCACAGCGCTATGTTGGTTTAATCATCCAATCACAGCGCTATGTTGGTGGTCCAATCACAGCGCTATGTTGGTGGTCCAATCACAGCGCTATGTTGGTTTAATCATCCAATCACAGCGCTATGTTGGTTTAATCATCCAATCACAGCGCTGTGTTGGTTTAATCATCCAATCACAGCGCTATGTTGGTTTAATCATCCAATCTCAGCGCTATGTTGGTTTAATCATCCAATCACAGCGCTGTGTTGGTTTAATCATCCAATCACAGCGCTATGTTGGTGGTCCAATCACAGCGCTATGTTGGTGGTCCAATCACAGCGCTATGTTGGTTTAATCATCCAATCACAGCGCTATGTTGGTTTAATCATCCAATCACAGCGCTGTGTTGGTTTAATCATCCAATCACAGCGCTATGTTGGTTTAATCATCCAATCACAGCGCTATGTTGGTTTAATCATCCAATCACAGCGCTGTGTTGGTTTAATCATCCAATCACAGCTCTATGTTGGTGGTTCAATCACAGTGCTCTATCGGTTTGGTGGGTGGGATGATGTGACTGAGTGGAACAGCTGACAGGGCTGGTTAGAAACAGCTCTGGCATCAACGTTGGACTATAGTCTTGGGCTTTATGTAGAAAAAGGATGTATTTGTGTCTTCGTCAACAGCGTATGGCGGACTGTCTTGTTGACTGACCTCCATAGCAGTGAGTCTGTGATGTTGTTTGTTATCCAATAGCATGTAGAGACCGTTTAAAGACAACCATAGAGTCTGACACACAACTGAGCTCTGTCTATGGGGCTAGCCTGACTGTTCACATATATAAGATGGCTGCCAGGCTGAACGAGGCTTGGAGCTGATGCCACTTTTACTAGCTGTTAGCTTATCAATCCAGGCAGAACCAGTCTATAATGAGGCTGCTAGAGGTTCCAGGAAATCAGCTGCAGCTTAACGACACACAACACGCCGTCTCCTTTCTGCCAGACTCCTGGGTGTTTTGCTTCTGTTCAGAGGCTCGGGCTGAGGAAACAGCTGTCCCACACGCGCCTCGGCGGCAGACGAGCTGGGCTGTGAACGGATCGCTGAGCAACGAGACGGTCCATTTATAAAGAGGTGCTTCATCACCCGTCGGTGAGGCAGATCAGAGTCACGGTGCTGGTGTGACCGGCGTTAAAGCTCACACAGGACCTACGGCTGTTGGACAGAGACATCCTACAGCATCACCATGGGTTCTGGTCAGGGTCACAAATGGTTACCTAAAACTGGGTCTAACGAGGGTTCTGGTTGGCTCTTCTTGCTGGTGGCTCATTGGCTGTGTCTCAATTCAGGGTCTGCATCCTACCTCGGCCGGATTCGTCGGCCGGTTACGTCACAGCGCCGCGACTCGGCCTGTCCCAATTCGAAGACTCCTTCAAATGCGGTCGACGAATGCGGCCTTCTTTTCGCCTGAATGAAGGATGGGTCGGGTGTATCCTTCAATAGGTAGCATTTCCCAAGATGCCTTGCGGGCCGGCCGGCAGAAAAACTTAAAAACAATGGCGGACAGTGAAGCGGGAGCTGTCGGAGAGGATTGCGCTTATAAATGTAAGTATAAACTTGAAAACTGTCAGTTTAAGGACTTTTTGTGATACATTAACGTTATTTTAGTTAGAAATGTTACAGTAAAAGTGCTTGTATTGCGGTCTCGGCTCGTATGTTCGGCCGCGCTCGGTGTCGTACTTCTCCCACTACGTTTCCCCCTGATTTTAATAGAAGTTTGTATTTTAGGACCAAAAGAGAAAACCAGGGAATTTATTAAGCTTAGGGCGGAGATGGACCACATGATCACCGGAGCAAAGTATTCGGCGGCTGTGGCATGGAGGTACAATAACATCTCATATTTTAAAAACTCGTTTGAGTATATTTTTTTCTGCGAAAACATGAAAGGAATAACCCGTTGTCCTCTTTTCTCTTCCTGTTTCTTTTCTTACATGTTTGTTAAGACTATTCTGGAGAAAATGGGCATCCAGGGGAAGGTGCCAGCGATGAGCTTCTGGAGCTGATCTGGGAGGACAAGAGGCTGCAGAGGGAGGCAGAGCAGCAGAGGGCCCAGGAGAGAAGGGAGAACTTTGACAGCTTTTTACTTTGCTAGAAAAAAATGGTTAATGAAGATTAAACATGTACATGTAAAAGAAATATCTAAATAAAATCAGTTCTGCATTAAACTCTTGAATTTTATTTTTGTTTACAAATGAGAATTGTTTACTAGAGGGTATCCGCTGGGTCTTGAAAAGTCTTAAAAGGTGATAAATCGGTTTTGGTCAAAGTAAGACCCTTAGAAAGTATTAAAAACTATTATCACATCTTTGCTCAGGCTCAGCTAGTCTAAAGTATTTTCTCTGAATTAGCTCTCCAACAGTCAAGGAAATGATTAACCCCCAGAGACCCACGGTTGTAGTATTACAACATCAGATTTAAGTCTACAAAAATAAACCTTCCCCATTTTTTTTCTTTTTAAAACCACATTTACATTGCTAATAGGTCCTATTCAGTTCTGCAACACTATTGGCTGTTAAAATGTGTAAATAGGCCCGTTTATCTGGCCTCCTAGAACAACATGTGAAAGGTTAAAAAATATTTTGCAGTTGTTTTCTAAATTTGGGTTTCTGGGGGTTAAAAAGCTAAATAAAACGTCGAGCTCCATCGTTTAAGGTTCCTTCTGCCCAGCGGTTCCACGGTTGCTAGGCGACGGAACGTTCGCCGAGGGAGTTCATGAAGGCTAGGCCTGTCCAAATTCACAGCCGTTAACATCCGGTCTACCCGGCCGACGGAGGACGCAGCCCACGTCGGCCGGGTGGGCTGGGTCCTTCGAAGGATGCAGACCCTGAATTGAGACACAGCCACCTAGAGTGATGGATAACGGTGTTTCAAACATGCATTAATGTGTGATCTAATTAATTACAAGCTTTTATCACAACGCCGTTCCCATTAATCAGGCTGCGGACCTGCAGGTTACCGGCTGCAGTCGAATGCGGCCGTGGGACTTCCACTGGAAGGAGCTCCGCTCACCTGTCAGATGTTTAATTCCCCGACCTTCTCTTCCAGGATCATGCATCTGGAGCCGGTTAGTGTTCCTGATCCTGCCTTTAGTCCCGCTAGGACCTGACTGTGTCCGTCTCAGAGTAGTGGCGTGGCGTTAGCTAACTCCTTTAGCTTCTGAAGCACTGGCCTCTTCCACTCCCTTTGGGCTAAGACTCTTGTTCTCTCTTCTATCTGAATATTTCTGGTTATTGTTTTTAAAAGTTCAAATTAACATCTCAATCAATCAAAATCCAATAAAACTAATGACCTGCATTGCAGCTGGTTTCGTCCTTCATTAGTGCTAGCACACCCTTTAATTCCTAGAAGGCGTGCGAGCTCACCTGCAACCGGACGGACCGAAGACTGAAACTAATGGAAAGATGGTCGTACCGATTAAAAGTGTTAAAAGTGACCAGTTAAAGAGCAACGAACAATGCAACACTATTAAAACGCGGGTCGTATGCTAGTGTGTAGCATCGTCGTGCACCAAGCAGGCAGGTAGCATGCATATCTGCTGATCTCCACCTGCTTTCCCTGACTAGTGCTCGCCCTGTCCAGGGTCCAGCCCACAGCCAAGTCTGTGCAGAGCTCTTCTCCTCCAGAAGAGATCTGCTGTTCTGCAGGACAGAACACTTTTGCATGCTGTGGTCCATGTGGTGGTTCCCACTGAGGGAAGCCCAGCGCTGAATCCTGTTCATGAAAAGGAACAAACAAGGTGATAAAGCAACAAGGCTGCATTAATGCAGCTGAATCGGGGGAATAAAGACGAGCAGCAGACCACATCGTAACATTCCTGCAGCTGGCTCGGAGTTACGCTCGTCCCACTGCTACTGCTGTCTGCGTTTTAGATCCTTGACCTGTTTGAAGCCCTCACTGCAGCATGGCGATGGCTACACCAGAATCATAACTCCCCTTAACTTGGGTCAGTCTGGCAGCCAGCATGAGCAGCAGACCAGTCAGCACCTCCAGGCCGTAGGACAGCCAGGCTACAGCCAGCGACCAGCCAAACGACACGTGCACGTAGACGAGGCTCTCTGGCAGCACCATCCTCTGGAACTCCTCCATGGCCAGGTTTGAGTACTTTATGTAGACGCTGACCCCCGTCAGGGTGAAAACGCCTGCAGACACACAAAAAGAACCACTGTGAAGGTCCATCCATCCGTTTTCCTCTGCTCGTGTGGGGTGGGCTCAGGGGGGAACAACAGAGCCAAGTCCCATCCCAAGTGCTTCAGGGACACACTCCTGCTGGTTTGCATCACCCCACAGACTGTACTGGATTCTGTTTGAGCCCGCGACGTTCCGCTGCCATTCCACGCCGCTGACCTTTAAACACGTCTGTCTGCTCCCGGTTCTAATAAAGTCCAGACCGCCCAAAATGACGTAAAAGCCGTTTCAAACGAGCTGTCACCATCTTGTTCCTCTCTATTGCATCATCCCGCCCACCAGACAAACAGAGGGCTCTGATTGGCCCACAAAGCGGATAGAGCACTATCAGTTTGTCACCCCTCTAGAGAGCTGTGATTGGCCAGCCAGAATGCTGCTAGGGGCTGCGGAGTCTCCAATGGAGCGTTCCCAGACCAAACTTTGCAAAGCAGGAATTTGGTCCGGTTCACTAGGCTGGACAACTCCGGGACTCGAGGATAAGACAGGGAATTCTGCTCCTGGCCATCGCACCCTTTTGGAAACTGAGGATGCCATCGTGGGCGGAGCCAGGTGGTAGCTAGGGGATGCTAAAGCAACAGCAGTTTTGGAACACGTCACATGAACCATGTTGGTCAGAAGCTGGTTTCCCAGGAATGGACAGGTTCATGCTAAAGCCTGCGGCGCTGGGTTAGAGTCCCGTTAGCTCATCACACATCTGTGACCCATCCTCGTGGCTGCGGCTGCGGTCGGGGGCTACTTGGTGGTTTGACCCCCCAGGCCATCCCTTAAAGCTGGGTGTGAAGCAGTGAGGTGAAAGAAAGTCACTTATTGCTGTGTTTTGTGTTGTTGCATTGGAATTTCTTGTTGTTCCACATTAGGTGGTCTCTAGTCACCTTACCCCCTCAGTCACCATACCCCCCGCGGTTCAGTCCTCACCGACAGACAGCAGCACCCCGAACAGCGAGCGAGCTGCTGCTGGTAGCGATGCTCGGTGCACCAGGTCAGCGAGGCCTCAGACACCCGACTTCAGCGTCCAGCTAACAGAGACGTGATGTTTGGCTAAATTATGGCTCGTTCTTATTGGTCCGACAGTAAAAGGCTGACGATTGTACTTTTGTAATCAGAGCTCCTTCATGATGGCTTTACAGCAGCTGTCATCAGGAGGACGGTTACTGAAGCAGGATTTCTCCGGTTTTATTTATGGTTGATGTGTTTTCAGTGATGATGCGTGGGAGTGGGAGAAGCTCCGTTTCTCCTAGAGTCAACGCGTTAATGGTTAGGCTCTCCGGGCAACGGGTTCTCACCGTGAGGCTGGTGCAGTTATTAGCTTCTGTGTTGCTCGTGTTAGCATCGTTACGCCGGTACGTCGATACGTTCTCCACCGAGAAGCTAGTTTATATCGAGAATCAACGTCTGATGTCTCAGAAGTTCAGACGAGCGCTTGGAGCTCCAGGCGCTCGCCGAAACCTGAAAGAAGTCAAAGATACGCAGTCCACAAGAGTTTGACTTGATATTTTAGCCAGAGACGCCAATCCTGGCCAGGAGGAGTCAACACTGGGAATTAAACACGGCCATGGAAGTACGGCAACTGTTCGTCAAAAACCGAGACATGCCTGGTGTGCTTGGGCCCACGGACCCTGGCGGTACACACCGAGTCTGCAGGTCTGCGTCTGTCGAGTCCTTAAGCTTTACTTCTGGGTGGACCTGTTCCATCTGATGTCTAACTCTGTTAAACTGGGTGTTTCATAACCAAAAGGTCATAAATATAGTTAAAAATGGCCGTCTGGAATCGACCCTGGGTGTAACACACACACACACAGCTGCAGGTTGGTGCATGCACAGATCATCAGTGAGGGCCTGCGTGGAAGGCAGGAGGTCTGTGTGGACTTACTGCACAGGAGAAAGTAGGACGCTGATGCAGCCAGCAGCATGCGACTGCAGGCCAACGAGCTGACGAGTCCAAAGATCCATCCCATCACCAAGAGGACCAGGCTGAGAGGCAACAGGATCACCACCACGCCGTGCAGGCCTGCAGACATGCGTGTGAGGAGTACGCGGTGTTGTGAGCGGCAGCTGCTTCTATCGCCGGCAGGGTAACTAGCCTGCAGGCGTGCTCCCGTCTACATAACCTCTGTCATCAAATCCTTTCATTCAGGCCGTCACTGCCAAGGACGGGTCTGCAGACTCTGATCTAGGGACTTTCGTTCATGCATCCGGCTGACTAAAACATCACGGCGAGCCGTTTCTGTCATTCAGAGGAAGGAAGACGCACTCACCCAGAAGGTGCCTTTCTGTTTGGGACAGGCTGGAGGTGTTCGCCGTGAAGAAGGGGATGACTGAAGTCCGGTTTGACCCTGAGAACGTCAGAAGTAACGGTTACACGCAGCAGAACCACAGACACTGGTGACACCGAGGAAGGTGCCGTGGAAAAACAAGGCTAACTTATTCACAGATGACAGATCTTTATGACCGGCTGGTCAAGCGGTCATGTTGCTGAAGACGTAGGCAGGGTTGGTTCCATTAGCACGTCGTTTCAACGCTACTGGCGAATGAAACACAACCCAGGTGTGAAACTGTGCAACTGTAGCAGGATGCACCAGAGCGGGGTATGGACCTCCAGAGCCGCTGTCCAGCACGTTTGAGAGGTTTTCCCGCTTCAACACACCTGATTTTAATCAGCAGGTGATTAACAGGCGTCTGCAGCGCCTGATGAGCTGCTGCAGGTGATCCAGCTGTGTTAGGGCAGGGAAACCTCTAAAACAGGGCACCGTGGGAGGGAGGGTGGCAACCCCCACCACTACCTGGGCACTACCCAAGGAGCGCCCCAGCCGCCGCCACCGGCCCCCGGCCCCGAGGCAGAGGGCTCCACAGAAGAAACACTGGAAGGATTACAATACAGAGATTGTAATTTTGGTAAAAGTTTCTCTCTCTGGGCCTCAGGACCGATGACTAAAACTTCAGTTTTGTCCTGGTTGAGCTGGAGAACGTTTTCTGCCATCCAGGATTTAATGTCTAAAATGCAGTTTAAAAGCATCCATTGGCCGAGAGTCATCAGGAGACACGGAGATGTACAACTGTGTGTCATCAGCGTCAACACATTCTCACACCCAAAGCGTCAAATAATGACACGTGTGACCAAGCGTCAAAATATGACGATTAGCGTGCCCCAGCACGTCGGGATAGGACGCGCAGGGGCACGCTGTGCCAGAGAGTCGGTGTCCGAAGCCCGCGGTGAGACGGGCATTTGACCGTCTTGTGAACTACTTAACCTTCCCCTCACCCCCATTCTAACCTTAACTAAGTTGCGCATGCAAAGCTTACTTGGAGATTACTGAGTTAAGGTTAGGATGGGGGTGAGGGGAAGGTTAAGTAGTTCACAAGACCGTCAAATGTCCGTGTCACCGCGGGCGTCGGATACTGACGCCCCCCCGGTGACACGTGTCCCTGCGTGTCCCTGTGCGTCCTCTCCCGATGCGCTGGGGCACCCTGATCGTCATATTTTGACGCTTGGTCACACGCGTCATTATTTGACGCTTTGGGTGTGAGGATGTGTTGTCAGCGTAACTGTGGAAATTCACTCCGCGTCTCCTGATGACGCCGCCCAGAGGGAGCATATAGAGGTTAAAAAGCACTGTGCCTAAGACTGAACCCTGGGGCACACCACAAGTGATGCTGTGGACCCCAGAGGAACAGGTATCCAAACTCACCATAAAACTCCTGTCTGTGAGGTAGGAAGTGAACCATCTATGAACAGCACCAGAACAGCAATCACAGCATGATGTGTGAAGCCAAAGTGCACCGATCTGGTGCAGGTACCGATCCGGTTCAGGTACCGACCCGGTGCAGGTACCAATCTGGTTCCTGCACCTGCTGCATGGTTTCTCCACAGCAGCAGGTGAGGTCCAGGTACCGATCCGGTCCAGGTACTGATCTGGTTCAGGTACCGATCCAGTTCAGGTACCGATCCGGTGTACCGATCCGGTGCAGGTACTGATCTGGTTCAGGTCCCGATCCGGTGTACCAACCTGGTGCAGGTACCGATCCAGTTCCTGCATCTGCTGCATGGTTTCACCACAGCAGTAGGTGAGGTCCAGGTACCGATCCGGTCCAGGTACTGATCCGGTTCCTGCACCTGCTGCATGGTTTCTTCACAGCAGCAGGTGAGGTGCAGGTACCGATCAGGTGTACCGATCCAGTTCAGGTACTGATCTGGTGTACCGATCCAGTTTAGGTACTGATCCGGTTCAGGTACCAATCCGGTTCCTGCACCTGCTGCATGGTTTCTCCACAGCAGCAGGTGAGGTCCAGGTACCGATCCAGTTCAGGTACCAATCCAGTGCAGGTACCGATCCGGTTCAGGTATTGATCCAGTTCCTGCACCTGCTGCATGGTTTCTCCACAGCAGCAGGTGAGGTGCAGGTACCGATCAGGTGCAGGTACCGATCCGGTTCAGGTACTGATCCAGTTCCTGCACCTGCTGCATGGTTTCTTCACAGCAGCAGGTGAGGTGCAGGTACGGATCCGGTATACCGATCCAGTTCAGGTCCCGATCTGATGCAGGTACTGATCTGGTTCAGGTACTGATCCGGTGAACCGATCCAGTTCAGGTACTGAACCGGTTCAGGTACCAATCCAGTGTACCGATGTGGTGCAGGTACCGATCCGGTTCCTGCACCAGTCATCGGGAGCTGCTGATGATTGGAGCAGAAAGCTGCAACAGGAAATCAGACATGATGGATCTGAAACCCAGGTTTTCCACGTGACGCGCCTGCCTCTCACAAGCACGAGGGAAAAGCCTTCGGTGGAGTATGACGTCACTCACATGGATTATATTACTGATGATGTTCTAGTGAACAGGAGGGACGAACCTTCATGGATCCTCCATAAGCCAGAGTGGGAGCCCAGCTCATCCGCACCTGTGTGGTTGGGGCTGTTTACGTCGATGACGTACCAATAATCAGTCCCGATGGCCACCGTGAGCAGGCTGAAGCTGAGCAGACCCGTGAGTCCGGCCGCCAGAACCACCGCTCCGTACCTCATGGTTCAGAAACGAGACCAGACCAGTCACTGATTCCTCCTCAACAGCTGCTCCTGACAGGAGGAGGATCCATGGATGGGCGACCCGCTCATAGATGTTGTCTCCTGTCTTCTTCTGACTCCGACCGCGCTACCCAGCGCAGCGCACAGAAGCCCAGCGGTCGATGCTGTCAAGGTAATAAAGTGTTACACTTCCGGCTCCCACTTTCAAAATAAAAGGTCATCCAAGGAACGCGATGAGACAATAAGGTCCTTTGTTTACAATTGAACAAACACAACAGGCCACGGCACTACGAACCCAGAAGCATAAACAAACATTAAATTTCATAATATATAATGATATAATATATTATAATATATAATAATATTATATATTATAATACAACATATTATATTATATAACTTAATATAATATTAACATAATATTATATATTATAATATAACTTAATATAATATAATATAATATAACATAATATATTATACTATATAATAATATTATATAGTATAATATATTAAATAATATAACTTAATTAATATAATATATTATAATATTATATTATAATATATTATATAAAATATTAGATAATATAACTTAATATAACTTAATATAATATTTTATAATGTATTATTTTTGTTAAAAACTTTATTGATAGTGGAAAACGGGATTTTAGGATCATTCCTATTTCCTGAGATGACGCACTGTGCCTAAGACTGAACCCTGGGGCACACCACAAGTGATGCTGTGGTCGGGGGAGAGGTCCTACCTCAAGTGGAGGAGTTTAAGTATCTCGGGGTCTTGTTCACGAGTGAGGGTAGGAGGGATCGGGAGATCGACAGGCGGATTGGTTCGGCGTCTGCAGTGATGCGGACGCTGAGCCGATCTGTCGTGGGGAAGAGGGAGCTGAGCCAGAAAGCCAGGCTCTCGATTTACCGGTCGATCTACGTCCCAATCCTCACCTATGGTCATGAGCTTTGGGTAATGACCGAAAGAACGAGATCGCGGATACAAGCGGCCGAAATGAGTTTCCTCCGTAGGGTGGCCGGGCTCAGCCTTAGAGATAGGGTGAGGAGCTCGGACATTCGGGAGGGACTCGGAGTAGAACCGCTGCTCCTCCGGATCGAAAGGAGCCAGTTGAGGTGGTTTGGGCATCTGGTCAGGATGCCTCCTGGACGCCTCCCCGGGGAGGTGTTTCAGGCATGTCCTGCCGGCAGAAGGCCCCCGGGTCGACCCAGGACACGTTGGAGAGGTTACATCTCCAATCTGGTCCGGGAACGCCTTGGGGTCCTGCCGGAGGAGCTGGTGGACAAGGCCGGGGAGAGGACGGTCTGGAGCTCCCTAGTTGGGATGCTGCTCCCGCGACCCGGACCCGGATAAGCGGAGGAAGACGAAGACGAAGACGAAGATTTTGGAAAAGCATGCATACCTTGAGTTCCTTACTGCGTTGTTGTAAGACTTTAGAGTTTCTCTGTATATCTGATAGTTTATAGTGATTTGGTTTTTCCTCCATTTTGTCTCTGCCACCCTGCAGTTCCTCTTTTGTGTTCTGAGAGCTTTGTTCCTCCACGGAGCTCGGCCGCCAGCATCAACAAATACTCTATATGACAACATTCCTTGTCAGATGCTGCGTAATCATATGTGGAAATGTGTCCGGAGGAAAGAGGATCTAGAGGAGGAATAAGGAACTGGCTGGGGAGGAGAGGCAGCCGGCTACCGCTACCGGCAATAGCACTGTCAAACGTGACATCGCTCCAGAATAAAACAGAGCAACTTTCAACCCTCCTGAAGTTTGATCAAGACTATCGACAGATCAGCCTCTTCTGCAGCGAGACCTGGCTTACCGAGGACACCAAGGGCGTCAGTTTGTTTTCAGAATTGCTGGGGACAATAACCATACACTTGAGTGGGGTTTAAAATTTGCTGGGGACAATAAAGTAGGTGTCAGCGGCTCTGGAGCCGCATGCGGCTCTTCCATCCATCTGATGCGCTCTCTGTGTTTGTAAAATAATGACTGGATATTTAAATAAAATGCTTTATATTTTACTGCATTAATTTTACATCTGTATGCCAATTCTAAATGTAAAGATTGTCTGCGTAAACCTGAACAGTTCCAACCCGGTCTTACTGTGAGACTGGGTTGACGCGTCACGCTTGTGCGTAATCATATCGGCGCTTCCTGAGCTGGAGGATGTGAGATTCTGGACTTCTCCTCAGACAGGTTCCTGGATGCGTCGCCACATTGGAGACAGGAACAAGCGCTATTCAGCCAAAGTTTCATAATCAGGTGTGGCAGTGTGTGTCCTGTCACAGTGTCCCGATTGATCATGCGCCCTGGCTACTTGGCCAAGGAGATGTCCCTTTGGCTGACTGGTTAGAGCGTATGACTCTCACCCGGTAGTCTGGGGATCGAATCCCGCCCGGGCCCTCATTTCTCCACCTTGCCACATATTGACGGATAAACTCAAGGATGTTGGTTCTTTTGAAAGAATTACCCCGACGCACACTGATGCGCATGGATGAGTTGACATTTTAATCGTTACGCACATCGCAGAGGTAACTTGATTCCCATCTGAACATCAGAGCTTTATACTGGACACTGTGTTCAGCGCGGCTCGGCGCGCCCACGGTGGACAGTGGGCTGAAGATCTGTAGAGGGATTCGCAGTGCAGAACCACGGTGCATGCGATAAGATTTCCTCCCACTGAAGCGTTCTGGAAACCCGGTCTCTCTGAGGGATGTGTCACTTGGAAAAATGTTCTTTTTATGAAATTATGAAACTTTGGCTGAACAGCGCTTGTTCCCGTCTCTAATATGGAGACGCATGACGCATCCAGTCTGAGGCAGAATAGCTCTTCAGCTCAGAAAGCTCCTGTGGAGACATTTGATCACGCACAAAGTTTATGTGGAGCAGAAGCGGTCGGGCCACGGCAGGTGAAACGTTCCTAGCCTACATGAAGTGAAACTGTTTAATTGTAACATTAATATGTTACTGGACACGCTGGTCTGGTTGGTTAGACCAGTGTTTGAAGTGGAAAACACACACACACACACACACACACACACACACACACACACACACCAATTAAAATAATGCTGATAGCGTGGACTAGAAGACAGGTGATGGTTTACGTATTTAAATGATGATCAGGCTGCTGTAAAATGTAATCTCCATCCACATCCAGACACAATTATCCTCTATTCTTTCTCTAGTTGCTCTGCTCTTGTCTGGGCTGACGTAGCTGACGGTGCGCACGGCGCGCCTAACTAGCGGCTGATGCACATTTTACGCATTTGGAGAGGTGGGCTGGATGCTTTGCTTTTACTGGAAGATGGTCCACTTAACGCACGGGTGTAGACTACATATTAATGACGAATGAAAATTAAATTGTGAGTTTTTACTTCATATTTTAGAAATAAAAATGACGGGGGAACACATTTATGACGTCTTTTTAAACGAAATTTTCTAGCGCGACCTGCCTGCTTCACTAAGTCGCCGCTTATTAAGGTCCGTCCAAAATTACCGTGGCCCACCCAAAAATGAAAACCTGGCGCCGCGCCTGTTATAAACCTCTGCAAATTGTTGTTCTTCACTTTATCAAACTCAGACTTTGTACAGCTAATGTCAAGATGTAAAATTATGAATTCAGTCGAGCTCTTCCGTCCCTCCCTCTCCTGCTCTCCTGGAAACCCGACATCGGCTGTCAGAAGCGGGAGGTGAAGAAGGAGATGAGGCAAACAGAGTTAGTGCGACGTAAAGAAACCAGACTGGTGTGGAGGTGAGCAAAACAGCTGGAAAAGTGTGGGTGTTGAATCCCCCACGGGTGCGACGCCCATGCGAGCGACCGGTACCGGCTGCTGTCACCTGTTGTGAGCAGCGCTCTGCTGTCTGAGGGTAGGCCCCGCCCACAACGCTGCAGCCACTGTGGCTCCCAGTGTTTACTGTGGGAAACGGGTAATAATGGCTCTTTGATGGGAACAGGTTGCCGACCCCTGGTATAAGATCTGAGCTGGTAAAACAAAAATCCTCATCAGCAGGCTTCTTTGAAAGTGGGGGGGGGGGACACAGCTGCCAATCACAAATTTTGCCGGGGACATGTCCCCGGCGTCCCCGGTTAAAATGACGCCTATGGAGGACACAGAACTGCAGCGAGAACCAGGAGATCAGTCGGGGGCGGGCTCTGCATGGCTGTCAACTGTAAGTTCACAGTAACATTACCTGGTGTGTGTGTGTGTGTGTGTGTGTGTGTGTGTGTGTGTGTGTGCTCTGTCTTCTCCATCCCCAGTGAGTCGTGGTGGATGGCTGCTTATACTGAGCCAGGATTCTCTGGAGGTTTCTTCCTGTTAAAAGGGAGTTTTCCTCCCCACAGTCGCTATATGCTTGCTTAGTTAGAGGATTGCTGTAAAGACTCTGGGTGTTTCTCAATGCATGGAACCTTGCCTTGATGTCTTGGCCCCGCCCTGGTTGCCTAGGAGATACGTCATCAGGAGCCGCCAAGACGTGTTCCAATGTTCATGTTCTACTCAGGCGTGTGTTCTCCGTTTGTTAGCCATTTAGCTAGCTGAGCGAGGATACACGGGAGGTGTCTTGTAGCCTTGCCTTGGTCAAAAATTAACCACAATACATCACGGTATTTTCAAAAAGACAGCGGATCAGCTACTTCGGGGACAGTTTTCAAGTTTAAAAGTAAGACAACTAATTTAACATGTTTTTTTTTTTAGATCCAAATAAGTTATCTATGGTTGGTTAGTTGCAGCTTCGGTGGCTAGCGGGTAGTGACTCACTTATATATTTAATATAATAAACAAATACACAATTTAAAAAGTAAAAGCCTCGTTATACATTTATATTGAAACTAATCCGTATAAAATATAACGTTATCTCCTGTGTCACGTGACATCACATGACCGCCGTGGAAGCTGCGGTCACGTGATGCAAGTCAGTTCCATTTAACAGTTTGCTTTGACCAAGGAAGGACAGTGTCCTCGTAAGCAAGGCGCCTGGCTTCGCGAGACATCATCTCGCGAAGCCAGGCGCCTTGACATTGAGAAACAACCTCTGACACTAGTCAGTGACTCGATGCAACCTGCTGGGTTTCTTATTTTGGAAACTTTTTACTGATTGCAGGGTTTTTCCTGTGTTCAAATTTGCGTGGCGGCCGCCTCCAGCCTGATTTTACTCT